TTATCCTGAATTACAATGCTCTCAGTGATAAGGTAATATCCATACGCTTACAAGGAAGACATGTTAATACTTACACCTACAGAAACACCTACTACCATCGAGTCGGATCCGACTCATGGCAACCCCTGCTTGGATTTCCGAGGCTGTATCACTATGGAAGTAGATTGCTAAGCCTTTCTTCCGTGGAGTGGCTGGTGGGTTTGAACTGCCAGCCTTCTGGTTAGCAGTCAAATGCCTTAAGCATTCCAACCACCAAAGCCAAAGATGAGGAAATTGAAGATTTTTACTAACTTCTGCAGTCTGAAATTGACCAAACATGCAATTAAGACATGTTGATTATCACTGGTGACTGGAAAGTAAAAGTTGGAAACAAAGAAGAATTACTGATAGTTGGACAATAATGGCCTTGGTGATAGACATAATGCTGGAGATTGCATGATAGAATTTTGCAAGACCAATGCAAATTCAAATTTATTGCAAATGCAAATACCTTTTCTCAACAACACAAATGGCAGCTATACACATGGACTTCCCCAGATGGAGTACACAAAAATCATACTGACTACATCTGTGGAAAGCGGCGCTGGAGAAGCTCAACACCTTCAACCAAAACAAGGCCAGGAGCTGTCTGTGGAACAGACCATCAACTGCTCATATGCAAGTTCAAGTGGAAGGTGAAGACAATTAAAACAAGTCCACGGGAACCAAAATGTGTCCTTGAATATATCCCTCCTGAATTTAGAAAACCATCTAAAGATAGACCCATCTAAAGAACAGATTTCAAGCATTGAACACCAATGACTGAAAACCAGAGGAATAGTGGGATGACATCAAGAACATCATCTGTGAAGAAAGCAAAAGGTCATTAAAAAGACAGGAAAGGAAGAAAAGACCAAAATGGATCTCGAAGAGACTCTGAAACTTGCCCCTGAATGGAGAGTAGGTAAAACAAATGGAAGAAATGGCAAGATAAAAGAGCTGAACAGATTTCAAAGAGCAGCTTGAGAAGACAAAGTCAATTACTATAATGAAATGTGCAAAGACTTGGAGTTAGAAAAACAAAAGGGAAGAACACACCCAGCATTTCTCAAGCTGAAAGAACTGAAGAAAAAATTTAAGATTCAAGTTGTAACATCAAAAGAGTCTATGGGTAATATATTGAATGATGCAGGAAACATCAAAAAAAAGATGGAAAGAATACACAGAGTCACTGTACCAAAAAGAAGTGGTTGATGTTCATCCATTTCAGGAGGTGACATATGATCAAGAACCAATGATACCGAAGGAAGAAATCAAAGCTGCACTGAAGGAATTGGTGAAAAACAAGCCTCCAGCAATTGACAGAATACCCACTGAGACGTTTCAACAAACGGATACCAAGCTGGAGGCACTCACTCAGCTATGGAAGACAGCTACCCCGCCAACTAACTGGAAGAGATCCATAATTGTACCCATTCCAAAGAAAGGTGATCCCACAGAATGTGGAAATTACTGAACAATATCATAAATATCATATGCAAGTGAAATCTTACTGAAGATAATTAAAAAATGGTTGTAGCAGTAAATTGACAGAGAACTTCCAGAAATGCTAGCTCGATTCAGAAGAGGACGTGGAATGAGAGATATGATTGCTGATGTCAGACAGATCTTGGCTCAAAGGAAAGAATACTAGAAAGATGTTCACTTATGTTTCATTGACTATGCAAAAGCATTAGATTGTGTGGATCATAATAAATTATGGTTAACACTGAGAAGAATGGGAATTCCAGAACACTTAATTATACTCATGAGGAATCTGTACATAGACCAGGAGGTTGTCATTCAAACAGAACAAAGGGATACTGCATGGTTTAAAATCAGGAAGGGAGTGTGTCAGGGCTGTATCCTTTCACCATACTTACTGAATTTGTATGCTGAGCAAATAATCTGAGAAGCTGGATTAAATGAAGAAGAACATGGCATCAGGATTGAAGGAAGATTCATTAACAACCTGAGATATGCAGATGACACAACTTTGCTTTCTCCAAGTGAGGATGACTTGAAACACTTACTGATAAAGACTGAAGACTACAGTCTGCAGTGTGGATTACACCTCAATATAAAGAAAACAAAAATCCTCACAACTAGACCATTAAGCAGCACCACAAGAAATGGAGAAAAGATTGAAATTGTCAAAGACTTTATATTACTTGGTTGTACAATCAACACCAATGGAAGCAACAGTCAAGACATCAGATGATCAGGCAAATCTGCTGCAAAAGACCTCTTTCAAGTGCTGAAGAGCAAAGATGTCTTCTTGAAGGCTAAGGTATGCCTAACCCAAGCCATGGTATTTTCAATCATCTCATATGCATGTGAAGGCTGGACAATGAATAAGGTAGACCGAAGAAGAGTTGATGCTTTTGAGTTGTGGTGTTGGAGAAGAATCCTGAAAGTACCATGGACTGCCAAAAAAAAAACTAACAAATCTGTCCTGGAAGAAATGTAGCCAGAATGCTCCTTGGAAGTGACAATGGCCAGACTTCATCTCACCTACTTTGGTCATGTTGTCAGGAGGGACCATTCTCTGGAAAAGGATATCATGCTTGGTGAAGTGGAGGATCAACAAAAAAAGGGAAGGCCCTCAACAATGTAGACTGACACAGTGGCTGAAAACGATGGGCTCAGTAGCAAGGACTGTGAGGCTGGCATAGGACCAGGCAGTGCTTTGTTCTGTCATACATAAGGTCGCTATGAGTTGGAGATGACTCGACGGCACCTAACGACAACAACAACAACATGTTAAACCAGTAGGAGTCCCTTGCTAGTGCAATTGGTTAATGTACTCTGCTATCTGAAAGGGTGGCAGTTTGAGTTCACCCATATGCATTTCAGAAGAAAGGCTTGGCAATCTACTTCTGAAAAATCAGCCATTGAATACCCTGTGGAACACAGTTCTACTCTGCATGGAGTTCTACACACATGGAGTTGCCAGGAGTTGGAATAAACTCTGTGACAACTAGTTTTTATTTTAAGCCATAACAGGCAACTGAAACTGAGGTCATTTATTCTACACCCTTGTTTTACTTATGAACATCCCAAGGCCCACAGAGGGAAATTGATACAGCAAGTTATAGTGGCAGTAACTTTCTAATTCTGTGATCTTTTTCCCTATTGTTTTTCTTTCAATTCTGTAGGAGGAAAGCACCAGATAAGGACTATGAAACTTCAAATGCTACCAGTACGGAATTATCCTGTGTCCTACCTGCATAATAATTATTTTATACATGCATAAAAATTACTGTAATAACTTGATACTTGAAAATGGAACGACTCCTAGGTCATTCAGTCCCCTCACTTTACAGGTGTAGAAAATACAAAAACAGTTGAGAAAGAGAAAAGTAGTCTCCAGTATTTGGAAACTTGTCTAGTACAATCAGGCCATTATGTTACTAGATGACAGCCTGGCACTCTCAGCTAGGCCTTGTGTTCTGTTGAACATAAACAATTTCACAGAACATAAACTTTAGACAAGGTCATTTTGCAACAATGATAATGACAAAAACAAGACCACTCCAGAATCATGTCTGAACACAAATAAATCATGAACAGTGTCCAAACCACACACACATACACACACACATACAAAAGACTAAACATGTCTCATCCTAAGAGAGTGTTGCTTCTTTACCTAATTACAGCTTTAACCTCAGTCTAGGCCTTCCCTCCTTCCAGATAAGATTTACTGAGATACCTAATCATAGAATTACCCTCATTTCCCGACAGAAAGGAATCCAGAAAAAAGCACTCACTTCCTTAAACCCTTCCCCAAATCACCTAACCCAATTCTTACCGAGATGCCCCACAGTTTCTTATGATATATGGTCTCTCTTGCTACTAGGAGTAATAATCCCAACTTGGTCAATTATGTGTGTGTTCTTGGTGTTTTGTGGTGGCTAGAGAGCACTGACAAACCTAAGTTCACACTGAGCAGGAGGCAGAGTTCATTAGAAGGACTCTCCAGGTTTCTACCTGTATTACTCTTTAGCACTTTCCACTCTTTCTGTTAGGAGCTCTGGTAGCGTAGTGCCCAAGGCACTTGACTGCTAACCAGAAGGCTGGCTGTTCAAACCCACCAGCCACTTCTCAAAAGGAAGATGGGGCAATCTACTTCCGTAGCGATACTGCCTCGGAAACCCAAGGAGGGGTCGCTATGAGTCGGGTCCGACTCGACGGCACATAACAACAACAACAACAACAGAGCAGTGTCCAGCAGAGGCTGAATGATTCGAAACGAAGGAATATGAGGGGCTTTTTAGATATGGGTTCCCTTCCATCTCTCAGCATCTCTCACTTTGGGCTGCATATGGACAGCACCATAGCATATCTCCATCAACTCCATCTTCTCTAAATCTTCAAATCCCTCACTTCTGGGATGCCCACCCTCTCTCAACCTCCTCCCTTGCCTGAATTTCTCTTGCCAACTGGTCCCTTCCCATACCTGAGCCCCAAGACCATCCTTTTCTAACGCTCCCTAGAACCCACCTGTCTCCAGTATCTGCCCCTACCACCAGACACCCGTGTTCCAGCCGCGCCTCTAACTAGGCGTCGAGTGGGCACTGCAGCCAGCCACCGCGCATGTGCGGAAATCGGCCGCACACGCAGGATCTCTGACATGTGAGGAGGTGCCTCGGAGTTTCCGTCTGGGTCTGGGCAGCCTTCGTCTGTCAGGAAGTCGGGAGAAACTAGCCGGAAGAAGAGCCTGCGCGCAGGGCTTTCTGGGATATGTAGTCGTGGCGTTCCTGAGGCTCTACCTTGAGCGATCCCTTAATTCTTCAGGTCTGTACCTTTCGCATTCACAGTCCCGTGCTACTTCCAGTCCAGAATTTAGTTTCTGGCTGCCAAGAAAGATTGGCTTGGTGTAGCTTCCTTTTCCCATAACGCTCTGCGGGGGCCGCGGCGCCTGCTGGGAGCTGTAGTCCCTACTCTGCGTACTGCGTTCGCTGAGGGGGAGGGCGGAGCTGCCGGCGGCCCGGGCGGGCTGGCAGCTACAGTGGGTGCGATAGACGCCTCCGCCTCTGCCGCCTCCGCCGTTGCCTCCTCCGCCGGGGCCGTTCGCTACTGCGCGGGGAGAGCGAGGCGGGGCCGCCGGGGCCGCCATGGAGCCCGACTCGGTAATTGAGGACAAGACCATCGAGCTCATGGTGAGTGCGGCCCGCTGGACCGTCCGTTCTTCCGTCCGTCCGTCCACAGGACGGGCCTGCCCATCTCAACGTCCGGCGCGAGGCCGGCCCTGGCCCTTCCCCGTCGTCTCGGCCCCGACCTGGGCCTCCCGCCTTCCCTGGCTTCGGGCCCGGCGCAGCTCCTGTGGATCCCTCGAGATCTAAGGCCAGATATGGTCCGGCCCACTCCGTTCCCCTCAGTTCTCTCCCCTCCTCTTGCCCCGTCCGGTCTCCGGGCCCATCTCTGGAATGACCCTCGCTCGTTTATTCTCTGGCCTTAGCTCACACCAGTCGCTCTAGCGTCTCATTCTCTTCTTGGAAGGCGTTTTATTTTATTTTTCCTTCTGTTTCTCTGGCCCAGGCCCGCACCACGCTTGCAAGCCCCACTCAGTCCGAATGAGGTGGTAGTGGGAGGGGGTACGGAAGAGATGATTAGGGCCGCCGCGGCCTCCGCTTCCTAGGAGTGTTTTCAGCACCCTGTTTCCAACCTGGGGCTGTGTGGATCCCCGGATAGGCCTTACAGGGCTGGGGTGGTGGGGGTGGTGGGGAGCCCTCGGGTTTGAGGCTGTGACGGATAGGCGGCCTCTTTCCCGGGCCACTGTGGTCCGGCTTCTCGGACAAAGGGTTTCTTACCGGGCCGAGAGGGATGTTTGCTTAGCCAGGCCCCAGGTATTCTGGATTCTGTCCCCAGGAAAGGGAAACTGTAACTTCATGTTTTCCGGAGCTACTTTGTGAAATTGGGGAGGAGGGATCGTCCTTATCCCAGTCGCCAGTTCTTTCTCTTCAAAAAAAGAAAAAAAAGAGTCGTTGGCCCTTGGCCCCTGGAGAAGTGATCACTTTTCTGTTAGAAACCATGGGCAGCCAGGCCAGTTTGCCTGATCCACGGATATCCCCAACCCCCTTCCGCCTTAGGACTTGGAGCCAGAAGGGGCTTTTAGAAAGGGGACCACGAGAGAATGTCTAGTAGAAGTGAGGAATTTGCTAATCGGTGGATGACTTGGTGGAAGAAATAAAATATGGCAAGTATTATATTACCAGTTTGAACATTAGGAAAATCAAACTGGGCTCTGGAGAGTTGGGGAGAGGAAGTCTTTGCCTTAGCAAATGGACATGCCCGGTGTTTCTTCCTGTGGAAACCTTGACAGTTTCATTGTATCTCTCCTAACATAGTAACAACTTCTACCCCATGGTTGGGAGGAAAGGTGAAAGAATGTAGTTAACCCAGCAAAATGTTTTCCTAGTCAGATTTTCTCCAGTGTGGAAATGTTTATTGAGTCAGTGATTCTGGGTAGGGTCGGTGACATCAGAGCCACTTCCCCCATTTAATGCTATAAATAATAAATGGTAACACTGAAAGTCTGTTGGATAGCCTCATGGTTTCTGTGGATGATGGTATCTGGGGAGTTAGGATGCATGTTTTAAAAATGGAAGTACAGTAGCAGAGGCAGCTTAATATTTGCTGTCCTTTGCATAATTCACAGAACTAGACTTCCTCAGCATTCTTGAAAACTAGAGAAACAAAAGTCGGGTAGTTTCTGATTTTTTTTTTTTTTTGGTAGGTGTATGGTTGTTTTCAAAGGGATACTGTCAGTTGGGTTTTATTTTATTGTCACTTACTGAGTGCTTTTTCCTTTTCAGCATAATTTATCAAATCATTGTAGTTAAGCCTTCGATATTCTGTAACTTTTGTGGTGAATTATTTTGGTAAAATATCTTGATTGAAATTACAGAAATTACTTGTATACTACATGTTCTTAAAAATGTAGTTATGCAATACATATTTACAACTGGAGAAATACTTCATATTGAAAGCTTGTAACCTGGGACCGCTTTGAAATTGGCTAGTCTGAGCTCCTTCTTTTTCTGTTCACTTAAAAAATAATTAAAATGTCTTTATTTTCAAAGGAATTGAAAGAAATACAGGAAGACCCAATTACTTGGTTTAGAGTGCATGGCTTTTTTTTTAGAAAAAGAAAATCCTGATCCTAAATTTCCTTCCTTCCTGTGCTCATAGCATAAAAAGTTTGATACTGCATCTGAAAAGAGATTTCAGCCTTTCAAGGACACAATAAATTGGAATTCTTAGAAAATGTAATGGAGAATTTAGTAATTATGATCAATTTTAAAATGGCTTTTCATGTAAGAATTTTAATAATCCCTGAAAGGGATTATCAGTTAAGACTTAACCCTTCTTATAAACATGTATTCATCTACTTTACTGTAGTAGATAGCACAGTGTTTAACTGCTGATTGAGTAAACCCCAGGATCAAATGTAGGAATGATAATGCCTTAAAATCTAATTGCATGTGGCTTTCTGTATCCACTGCATTTTAGTAACAGTTTCTAGAGCTAGGTTAAAAATATTTTTTATATTGGTTTTAAAATGATTGAAAGAGGGGAAGGAGTTAAATTAATGATATTTTGAAAGCCTAAAAGCATGAAATATTTTTAGATTTTGTGAGTCAGCTTCAATACTCAGATATTTGTGATTGTGCTGCCTGTACCAGCTCAGTACATAATTAACAAGGTAACTTCCATCTGATATTCCAGAACGTGCTGTATTAAAAGGAGCAAACAGACTTTGTAGGTCTCTCCATTTCTTAATCTTCATCCCTCTGCTTTCTTTCTTGCACTTTTGATAAATTGACTAGCACATAAAGCCTGTGATAATAGAATAGTTAAATCTTCACATTTAATTTAATCCTTGTTGTGACTCCTGTGCCTGTGTGAGGCTTACACACACAGTAGCATACTTCTCTAATTGACCTACTGCATAGGGTTCAGACTTTAATAAAGACTATAAACTCTTGATTGAGGCAGCTGATTTTACAAGTGCTGATGGTGGGTAATTTAACTACCAAATGATGTTTATGGCTTTGTATAGGCCCAGTGCTGTACCTTGTCTGTGGGCCTGGTTTTAAACTTCTGATTTTGGTAAAATCAGTTTTTTAGTTAATGACATAGAAAAGTAGTAATCCATTTTAAAAATAACACAACGTTCACCAGGCCATGACTAGTGCAGTGGATTTCATTAGAAACATTGAAAACCATACATTGTATATCACATGATATTTATTAATTTTTGAGGTAGGAATATGAGTTGATGCCCAGACACTCATCACTAGGGAGTACTCACAGAGCTGCTGATTGAAAGAGAAAGATGGTTAGTCCTCCCTGTTAGAAGGTAACAGGAGTAGACTTTTTTTTTTTTTTTAAAATACGTTTTATTTAAATATAATTTATGTGGGAGCTCTGGTAGCGTAGTGCCTAAGGCACTTGACTGCTAACCAGAAGGCTGGCGGTTCAAACCCAGCAGCCACTCCTCGGAAGGAAGATGGGGCAATCTACTTCCCTAGTGATACCCAAGGAGGGGTCGCTATGAGTCAGGTCTGACTTGGCACCTAACAACAACAACAACAACATAATTTATGTATGGTGAAATACACAAAACTACAGTGACATGGGTCAATAAGGAGTAGATATTAAAAGCTTAGGAAAAGTAATCTTGCCCCTCTATGGGTATGTTTACATCTCCCCCCATTACAAAATTAATGTGCAGTTTATACTCTATTGTTAGTTATTGAATGATTCTTATTTGCCAAGTGTCCTTGCATGAGTCATTTCCTTTCCTGTATTATCACTAAGTGGCTATATCACTTGAATGGATATAGGTAAAATACATTGGACCTTATTAAGAAGGTGTGGTATAAATGCTATTTTTAGAGCTGTTGAACTAGAGGCAGGCCACAAGGCCAAGGAGATGAAAAAACTGACAAGTGAAGTTAACTGGACATTTTTCCTTTTTTGAATCTTTTTTTTTCCTTCCTCTTATTGACTTCTTGAGCCTGATAAGTGGAATTGTTTACTCAAGAAATTGGATCTTTCTTTGCTACCATTACTTGTCCTTATCTCCATCTAATGGTGTGCTAGTTTACCAAATGCAGACTAAATAGACACTACTTTAAATTAAATAAACCACCTATGTGTTTACAGACCTCATTGACCTGCCTCAATTTTTGTCTCTGTTCTTGGAGTAGGAATCCCTGGATAGTGCAGATGGTTAAACGTTCACCTACTAATGGAAAGGTTGGTAGTTTGAACCTACCCAGATGTGCTTTGGAAGAAAGGCCTGATGATCGGCTTCTTGAAAGCCTTATGAGGCATGGTTCTACTCTTAATACCAGGGGTTGCCATGAGTCAAAATCAATTTGACACCAACTTGTTTTGAAGTAGGTTGGATGTCATTTCAGATTTGACGTGTTCCTGCATAGACTGTTGGCATTCTTGGCTCCAGACTGCTGCTGTTTGTTTTCTGAAAACGAAGAGAGCCAGCACAGATGAATCACTAGCCCTCTACCCAGCTTCACAGACCAGCATATACATTCCTGTGGGTTTCTGCTCTGTGAGATCCTTGGGATCTTAGATTTCACCTTGTGATACTACTTGTACTTAAAGAGAAAGTAAGCATTTCAGGTCCTAGTGATTCTAAAGGAGCTCTGGTAGTGTAGAGCCTAAGGTACTTGACTGTTAACCAGAAGGCTGGTGGTTCAAAGCCACCAGCCACTCCTTGGAAGGAAGGTTGGGCAATCTACTTCAGTAGTGATACCGCCTCGGAAACCAATGGAGGGGTTGCTATGAGTAGGGTCTGACTCCATAGCGCGTAACAACAACAATAACAACAACAAGTGATTCTGAGTTCAGCCCCACTTCTGGCTTTTCCAAGGAGCTCTGGTGGTGTAGTGCTTGAGGCATTTGACTTGCTAATCAGAAAGCTGGAGGTTCAAACCCACCAGCTGCTCCTCAGAAGGAAGACTGGGCAATCTACTTCTGTAAAGATTTACCACCTTGGAAACCCAAAGGGGGTCGCTGTGAGTCAGAATCGACTCAATGGCAGGGTTTTTTTTTTCCTCTTGCTTTTCCATTCCCTTTCTTCACTTACTCTATATGCCAGGCAAAGCATGGAGGACCATGGTTTTTCAAA